CTGCCCAGGCAGGTTCTCGAACCCGCGGGCTCAGGCAATCCACTCACCTCAGCCTCCCAAAGGCGTGGGATTACAGGCTGATCCACCGAGCCCGGCTCAGATTTTTTAAATTAGGTTTATTCTATTCATCCAAAATATACCCATGCTCAACTTTATGACAAATACTCAGAGACTCTTTTCTGTTTCCACAGGGCTGAACCCTGTTTTCTCGGGTATTTTAGCTCATATCTTTAGTTCAGAATCATGAAATTGAAAGGAATAGAGTTTTTGAAAATTGTCTAAACACCTTAGTAGTTTAGTTGGCACATAACACTATAAAATGTTTGCTAATTCTGAAAGATTTATCCCAAGACTGAAATTGGATTGATTCACCGGCTGAAGGTTATGCCCCAAACTGCACAGAGGAGAATCCTTCTAATAGTTTTCTGTGCTTGTTGAATGGGATTTAACAATACCAAATAATAGAACTATTTTTGTCTGACTCAGGTACATAACACATCTTGAGCAAGCGTCATTCTTTTCACGTTCACATCTACAGTCTCAGGCCTTCACTGCAGCCCTGCAAGGTGAACAGGCCAGGTATTAGAATCTCCATGTTAGATTTGAGCAACCTCAAAGATAGAGAAACCAAAGAATAGTTAACCCTCGTTATACAGCCTCATATCTGAGCAAAGTCCGCATTGCAGTCCTAGCCATTCACTCAGAGTTCCATTCACTTGCCTTCCTGCCTTGTTCCTATTCATTTCTTACCCACTCAAGAATATGATTGTTTAAAGTTGATTATTTACTGCTGCACTCCCATTAACCTGCTTAACAAGCTTAACAATGAAACCATCATTATGTGTAGTTTCCAGAGAAAAGCTTGTGATCATTCTCAAAATCACTTAAGAAGACTTGCAATGCTTGATTTACCCCTATGCCAAAAGAGAATAACACAGAGATTTTCTGTTCAAATTGGTTATCATTTTGTTTAAGAGATTTAAAAGGTTGGTTTATTGTGTGCGCATCTAGGCTCAGGAGATGCCCTTGGATTGACTCAGCTAAGAATGGGGAAACAGGTGAAATTCCTAATCTATCTTAGATTCACTTTGTTAGAGTTTATTGCATTTGATTGTTTCTAAATGGGATGCAGTAACTCTATTCCAAAATGGAGTTCCAAATTGTGAGTTAGCATTGGGAAACCCCTCATTCTGGTGTCCTAACAGATATAAACTCTAATAGAAACTATCACAAAGATAATTATATATCCACATATAAAGGATTAAAGAGGCAGATATAAGACAACAAAGCTGTGTTAAAATCTTTACCTTTGTTCTTTCCAGAAAGATCTTAGATTCTGTCAGCCCTCCTTCTTCAATTCCAGAGATCAGCGGGGAGTTGATAAGGCAGCTAATTCTGGTTTCTTTTTGTTTCTGGATCTTCCAAAGGAAATTCCAGTGAAAACTCTGATAGGAGACTGAGCACAAAAATAACGTTTGCCCCATTGAAGAGTTAGTGAATCTTCAGTAGTAAAGCTTGGAAGAGAAGTGACTAGCTATGTGAGGAAACAGCCAGTTAAGTAGGTGATGTGGCATCATGCCACATTTCAGATCAACATGTTTCCTCTCACATCCATATGTACAGGCACCCTGGGGCTAAGGAGACCAGTAGACTTCAATCCCCAGGGATAAAAGGAAGCACAACTAGTTCTAAGAGCTCTGAGAATACTGACAATGTTATTGTATTAGTTTCTACTAAGTGAATACGAGACTTTAATACCCAGTCACCTTGGGAATTTTGAATAGGCTGGGGCCTGAGGAGAACTGGCGTCAATTTGTTTGTAGAGCTAAGACCTCAGGGGCTGGTATTCTCATCTAGATACTGGCCTAGGCCCCCATATACACAGGCAGAACTCACCAGGGAGTCAACAAGAAAAGGTCCCAAACATGAGGCTCAGGTTTTCTTGAAGAGAGAATTAATTTCTGGGTTTTACGTAAAAACAGGAGTAGATAAATTTTTTCATCTAGTCCTGGAATCATAAAATTAAATTATGAAAGCATTCCCAAAAAGTTGAATGTGGACACAGACAGACACAGGAAACTCTTGGGTCTGTCATTGCCATGTTGAAAAGCCAGGGGAGGACTTCTCCTCTTCCCTCCACTCCACTCAGTGTGTCTTCACCTCATACTTTGACACTGCCATCTGGAGGCTGCAGTACGGCTTGAAACAGATGACCAGTCAATGTCTACACTCACTCCTTCCCCACATTCAAGGCTGTCTAGTCTCACCTCCTACAGGAGACCTCCCAAACAAAAACACTAGGTGGGAATGTCAACTTTTCATAGAGCTGCCAAAAATAATTTGATTGCAAGGTTTTATTTAACTTTTAAAACCAGCATTGATGCTACTACTTGCACTAAGTTGTAATAGGAATCTCTTGAGACGTATCAGAGGATAAAATATATCCAATTTTCTTAGATCTCAGCTGTCCTCAATTTCTTGCTAAGAAAAATACAATCTCTGATCACAGTCAAGTCAAATTGAAAATAAATAATAGAGATAAGTGAAAAATCACCAAATATGAAGAAGGTGTACAGTGCACTTCTAAACAATCTTTAAGTTAATTACAAGAATTTAAGACTGATTCAATGCTCAAAAATCAGCCAATGAATCCACCAAATTAATAGGTTAAAGAAGAAAAATCATATGGTCATAGCAATCAATGAAGAAACAAATTGACAAAATTGAATATCATTCATGATTTTTAAAAAAACTCTCAAAAAACTAGGAATAGATAAAATTTCCTCAACTGGATAAGAGCATCTACAAAAAACCTACAGCTAACATACTTAATGGTGAAAAAATGAATTTTTTCCTCTAAAATTAGGAATAAAGATGTCTGTTCTCATCACTCTTATTTAACATAGTTCTGGAAGTTCTGGCTAGTGCAAGTAGAAAAGAAAAAGAAGTTAAAAGGACAAAGCTGGAAAGAAAAAAATGAAGTTATCTCTGTTTGCAAATGACATGATAATACATGCAGAAAACCCAAAGGACTCAACAATAACAAACAAACAAAAAACCTCTTATAACTATTTTAAAAATTCAGTCAAGTTGCAAGATACAAAGTTGTTTTGTTTTTAGCAGACCTTCAGATTAGTGCTTCTTTTTCAAATCTAAATGATATGACTAATTTAAAAAATAGATTTTCAAAAACATTAAGAATCTGGAACCATTTTGATTTTAATACATGCTTTTTTTAACTTTACTCTTTTTTCTAGTATATTTTATTTTAAAGATGTGAGGTAGAATTCAGGATTAGGTATACAAATGGTAAAGCTTTAGCCTCCCTTTGGTCCCTACTTTGCCTGGTTTGAGATCTGGTACCCTTATT